ACTCCCTCTCGCTTCTTATCATCTTCTTCCTCAACTTTCCCGCTTTCTTTTTCATCAGTTCACCACCCATTATCATCTTCTTCCTCAACTTTCCCACTTTCTTTTTCATCAGTTCACCACCCATTTGGATTCCTCAATTTTTAATTTCAGGGAATCCCTGCAAAATGAAAAAGGGAAAGGTGTTTTTGTTTTAAAAAACAAACGGGCACCCGCAGGCACCCGCGGGTGTACCCGTTTGACCCCTTGGCAAAACGGGTTGGGCCGGGTATGGGTAATAGAAAAACGGGTCCAATATTAAAGACCCACACCCTACATTTTTTACCCGGGTTTGGGGTCGACCCGCAAGTCTAGACCCATTTTGCCAGGTCTAATGGAAAGGGGCCTATGTGTTAGTTTTTAAAGTATAATTTGGGTGGTTAAGTGTAAGAATGTAGGAGGCCCACAACATATATAAAAAGTTGAGAGGATTTTTTGATATTTTGCCCAATAAGGATGAATGAAACTTTTCCAAGGGTGCATGTATAATTTTCTAGGGGGTGATTTTTAACTTATCAAAACTTTTTTTATATGATTTTGCGGGGTTAAGTGTGACAACCAAAACTGTAACGCCCACACGGAGGTATGTAGTTTAAGTTATGTTTTTATAGCCCTTAGTTGATTTTTGTTAAAGTTATTTTGAGAGAATGTGAAGAAAATGCCTTCAACTTGTATTAAGGGTAAAATGGTCTTTTCACTCAAAATTAGTTGAAATTGTGGGGAGTGAAAAGAGATATAATTTCATGGAGAATGCAATAAAAATGAGGGCATTATGGTAATTGACTAAGAGACAAAGATGAAATTTCCAAGAAAGTGTAAGGGCAAAATGGGAAAGTATGTTTATAAAATAAGATATTAAGGGTTTAGTCTACAAACCCCCGTATTTCTCTTCTTCCACCGCCACTTTCCTTCCCCATTTACTCTCAACTTCTCACTCAATTTTCCAAGGATTTTTAAGGGCTTTTGAGTGGGTTTTGACAAGGTTTTGATCCTAGGCAACAAGAGGTAAGAATTCTTGCTCTATATATAAGATTTACTTGTGTAGAAGTTGAATTCTTATTAAGTTTATGCTTAGGGTTAAGAGGAAATTTGAGTCCAACAAGAGTAGAGAGCTTTAATGGAGACTACTCAAGTATAAGGTAAGTAAATCCAACTCAAAAACCCAACTCAAGTTAAAGTTTAAGAAATCAATTGAGTAGAGATTTCTTTAAGCATGTATCTGTTATGATTGTTGGGAAATTGAGATGAGATTGGTGATTATTTATGCTTGTTGTTGGATATATTTGAGTATGAGAAGTGTTTTTGATTGTATGATGGTAGATTGAAGTTTGGTTGAAATTGGAAGAGTTTAAGAAAGTTTTGGGAGTGTTTTGCCGTGATAGGGATTGTGATGATACAAGAGAGTTTTACTCTCATTTTGGATGGTTTAAGAAAAAAATAGAATTATAGTTAAAGTACAGTTTGTATATGCACATTTATTATTTGATGAAATGCCTAAGAGAAGCATGAGTATGAGTAGAAACCTTAATTTTATGCAACATTGCATAATTGCATTTCATGAGTGCATTTAAGTAAGAATTCTAAGCATGAGCCATCCATATGCATATATTTGTATATGTGTAGTAACTTAAGAAAGAATAAAGAATTTTAAGAATAAAACACTCTAAGAATAAAGAGAAAGAAGGAAAAAGCACTAAAGAATTAAAGAAAAGAAAAGTGTTAAAGAAGAGAAAAGAATAGGTTGTTGTGATGGGGAACCGTGAGTGCTAAGAAGAAATTCCCACATACACGCCACATTAATTGAGTTGCATAAGAAGAAGAATTGTACGACCCGTAAGAGTGTATGTGGATGAGGGTTGTACCAAGAAGAATTCCTACATGCACGCCACCTTAATTGAGTGGCCTAAGAAGAAAGAAAGAAAGAATTTGTACGGTCCGCAAGAGTGCATGTAGATGAGGACTGTACTCACTCACACGGCCAAGGTTCTGAATCCATGCATCAACCAAGTCTGATCAACAAAGAATAAGAAAAGAAAGAATAAGAAAGAATAAGAATAAGAAAAGAAAGAATAAGAATAAGAATAAGAAAAGAAGGAATAAGAAAAACAAGATAAGAAAGCTTGAACAAGCAAAGAAAAGAAAAGAAAAACAAGAAAGAAAAGAGAAGCTTGAGCAAGCAAGACAAGAAAGAAAAGAAAGGAATAGAAAGAAAAGAAAAGAAATAGAAAGAAGAAAGAAAATGCATTTTTATGCATTATTGCATATGCATATCATTCATGTATATTACCATGAATTCCATCATGGTTAGAAAGAATAGAAAGAATAGAAAGAAAGAACAGAGAGAAGGAAAGAACATCGAGAATTAGGAAGAAAGAAAGAACAGTAAGAATTAGAAACAGAGAAAGAAAAGGGAGAAAGAACGAAGAACGAAAGAAAGAAGAAGAGAATTAAGTAAGGAAAGTACCAAAGTAGGAGAAGAGATAAGGGATTTAATTACTGAGCATTTTTGTGCTCACCCCGTTGTTTTTCCATGTTTTGCAGGAAATGGGTGAGCAGCGGTCGGAAGGAAGTCAACAAGCGGAGAGAATTGGCATTACTGTCCACCGTTGCTAAAGTTTTTGTACTTGTTATTTTGGTATATGTAAATAATTATATTTTATAAGTAAAGAAAAATTTAGGCCCAACTATTTTTCATATGCTAAGTATGTATGTTTTTATTGTATATGTTCTAAAGTATACTAGGAGAAAGAAGTCATTACAGAAACCTTCAGGGTACATGCTAGATTTGTCGTGAGACCTTGGACTAGAGAAAATTTTGCCAGGGGAGAGTTAAATAAAAACATAGGTGTTTATTGTGTTGTATTTGGAAAGGGGTTGATTATACTATATTGCTTTTAAATAGTTGAAAAAGGCTGAACAGAGAGAAAGAAGAAGTCTTTGGGCAAAAGCTTTTCTGTCGTGGCAGTGATATTCTTCTACCGAGGCAGAAAGCTCTCGGGTAAGAAGGGGGAAATTGTCAGTTTTAAGAGTTCTTTTGGGGTGTTAACTAAAAAGATAGAAAGTGTTGGCATTGTCTTGAGAGGAAGTTGTTTTATGGATTGTAAATGAATTTTTCACATGCTTATTTATTTTTATTATTACAAATGTTGCATTGGATTGAGGATTATATAATATTATTATATATACTTGCACAAGAGCATGCATATTTCATAATGTGTTTGGCTATTCGGATGCAATGTATGTGGATGTGCTTTATCTTTCGGCTTTGAGATCACAGTTCTATAGTACCCCTCCCCCTCCAAACACCAACTAGTATTTACATTTGGCCCTACACGCACACAATGGGATGATCCGTCACTGTATACAATCACGATATCCCCTTGGTAGGATGGATCCTTGACGAACTCCAAGCAGGATTACACCAGGCCTATATAGGCCTGAGTAGGATTATGACACCTAGAGGGTAGAATTGGGTGGGGATTATGACACCTAGAGGGTAGAATTGGGTGGGATGTAGATTATGACGCCCAGACGGTAGACTTGGGCGGGATTTGTTGTTCAAGTGTGATGGAGACACACCTAGTTGCTTTTATGTATTAGGGACTTTTATGTGAGAGATATTGCATAGGTCCTAGGGTACTAGTGTGGTATGGATTCAGTATTTTTATGAGCATTATGTGATTGATAATTAAATTGCCATAGCACCCAAAAGTGCATACATGTTTTCAAATTAAAGATTATTTTTGTACAAAATGTATTATCTACTCAANTAATTTATTATAGATATACTTAGAACTTGATAATTGAAGTAAATAACTAAATATATTATTACTCAATCAAATATACTATTTTATTCAAAAATAATTCTTTTAATAACATTAAAAATGTAAAACATTTTTAATTGGATCATAATTCCAATTATTAACTTAATTAATCAAAAATTTAATATTAATATATTATAATATAATAAAACTTTTAACATGGTGTAATTTATATGTAATAAGTATAATTGTATTCGTATATTTATTTAATTAGGTTATTCTAAAAATTTAACTTCTATTTTAAATTTTTTTATATGTAAAATAATAGAAACCCTCAATTATTCACATTTCACAAATATTTCATTGTAGTCCAGGTTCTAAAACAGGTTCCAAAAATCGGTTCCAAACCGGGTACCCCTTACAGGTTCTAAACAAGATACCTTTTTTACAGGTTCCGGTTCCGGTTCCTCCACACACAAGAACCGGAACCAGAACCGCACAGTATCGGTTCCAAAAAATTGGAACTAGAACCTACCCGCACAGTACCGGTTCCGAGTAGGTTCCGGTTTCGATTCCAGTTCTACCTCCCGGTTCCGGTTCTACCCGTTATCCGTGCTCACCCCTATGGCCAAGGTTCAAATATAAGTTTACACATGCAAAAGGCATGTGAAGCACATCAAGAGAGATGTTTAAATTGTCTAAGTTTCTCTTCCAACCCCACCCTTGCCCGAAATTAAGAACAAAAATAAATATAAAGAAATCACTAACCATTTTGTTCAAGCTCTTCCTTTGGAAGAGGATAAGTTATAGAACAGACCACGTCAACACTTCTGGCAAGACGGTGGACAGCTTCTACCATATCAGTGTTAAGAAGACCACCAAATATGACAGTCCTAGCAACCCTGCATAGCATCACATGGAAGAGAAGGAAATAGTCAAGTGGCAATCTTTCAAAACTTGAACATTGTAATCGAAATTCCTTGATATAATTGTATTATGAGCAGAACTTTTTTACTTCTACCAAAAAGTAAACCTCTACCTCTTACAAAATTTACACGGAAAAAACTTCATGGAAGAAAACTATTGGTGAAACAACTACAACTTTATGAAACAGTTGATATTTTAATTTACTTCAACACTAAGGTCACCTCTGCTTCTCTGAACAATTCTCCTTATCTGCCAAGTCAATGGAAAGTTTTGCCACTTTTCTAGGTTTCACGGTTTTGTCTGATATTTCATTCAAAAAAAATTGCAAAAACTAAACAAGAAATATGAGCAAGCCACAAACTTTGATAAAAGGTAAATGGTTTAAGACCTGTATCAAGCAAGTTTGAAGAAAGCTTCTCTGCCTCAGAGGTTGAACCATCTTTATCTTTCTTTGTCTCCGCTATATCATCTGACTGAACCACTAGTTAATTGAGGAAAAATGTGGGACAAATTTTACCAAAAAATTGAAGCCTTTAGTAAAATATGAAATATCAAGACACAATATACCAAAAATATAAAACCAATGTGAATGATAACAACCTTGAGCTGCTTTTGGGCAGCATTGCTCCAACGAAGCACGATGAATGGCATGTTTAACTTCGATTTTCTGACCTCCAACAGATGAGCCATTCTTCATCTCAATGGCACGGTTAGCATCCTCCATAATAACACTGCAAATGGATGCATTTACAACACATGAGAAAGAAAGAAAACAAGTACTCCTTAAAAGCATATCACCTTTATATAATTTCCTAACATCACATCAAGTAACAGCAAAATTGAATGACTAGCAACAATAAAATACAACTACCATGTTACCCAGGCAGCTAAGGGCTTGTGTAATTTTCCATATGGAATCAAACTAATACTTATTGAAGCACATCTCCCATCAAGTTTGAAGGGAAAATGAGTAGAAGTTCCTAACAAATTAGAAAGAAGGGAACCACCAAATGGTCAAATTTGTTTACCCAATAACAGAAAATATCAAATCAGGTTCGCATTTTTCTTAACCATCCCCAAAAGACAGGCAAGGCAAAAGTACCGAGGAGAAACCAACATAATTTTCACGTAAATACTAGAAGCAAGAAACTGCATGGATACACAAGTATGTACATATGCATAAGGTATAACCAATCATAAAGCAGTCATAATTCAAAAAAAAAAAAAAAAATCAATTTCAAATGAATATCAGTTACTCAACAGAGGATTCAGACAAAAGAAAATTAACAATATCTTCGGTGCTTCCCACAGCATTGTTATGAAACTAAGAACTAAGTAAAAAAACTTACCCTCTGCTCCTTTTGGTCAGGAGGCTTTGCAACTAGTGGCTCCACCAGTTTCCTTTTCTAGGCTGGATTGTTTTTTCGGGATTTTATCAACTATAACACTATAATCATAATTTTCGAGCAAAGAGCTGAGTTTAGGTCTTCATTTTTTTCTGCGAGAGGAGACAATCGAACACTTGTCAGCCTAGTTCTCATTTTCCTTTTCTGGGGCTGCCGAAGATCCCCCTTCAAATTTTCCGTATGTGTTGATCGATCAGGTGCCTCAACGCGCGCTTGCCTCCCCTTCCCTTCCCCTTTCCTCCATCTTAGGACCGAACTGACTAGGTACATCAGAGCTTGCACCCCCTACAAACAAACCCCACCTCCCCCCCCCCCCCCCCCCCCCCCCCCCCCCCCCCCCCCCCCCCCCCCCCCCCCCCCCCCCCCCCCCCCCCCCCCCCCCCCCCCCCCCCCCCCCCCCCCCTCCCTTCGGCCGCCTTTCCTCTCCTCCAACTGACTAGGTGCATCAGCGCTTGCACCCCTTCCTCTATCTCAGAACCGAACTGACTAGGTGCATCAACACTTGCACCCACATTCCCTATCCCTTCCTCTGCCTCAAACAAACACGAAGTCATCATATCGACGACTCCCTTCCCCCAATTCCAACTCAGCTACTTGAACATTCAATTGTTGTTGCTGCTCCAAATCCACATCTACATCTTCCAAAACAATCCAGCCTTGATCATTAATCTTTGATCTAGCCTCTATTTCACGACTCCGAATAATTGAATAGTTTTCTATTTCCTTTGCCTGATGCAAAAAACAAAAAAGTAAAAGCACTTTTCCAAAAAGAATTATAACATAAAGCAAAAAGAAATTACATCGTTGCTTGACATCCCTTTCTCCCTTAAAGGGGTCTTTTTCGCATTTCTTCGAAACCATTTTTCCATTGTATCTATGACCTCATTTGATAATCCAAATTTTTGAGGTGCTAGATATGGTTTATTGTAGAGGCAATGATTATACCACAACATTGGAAATATTACTAAGCTCATATATTTTTGCCTCCGATAAACCATTGGAAGAAAGTCCACTGGCAAGTTTTGGTAAGGTTGTCGTGAAATATCATCCTGCACAACATTCATTGCAGAAAAAACATAAATATTTAAGTGTTTATAAGATGCAAGGAAATAAAATTGAATTCATAAAAAGACTTACAACATTCAAATCTTCCAAAAGATCAGCCACATCATTTGTCCTCGGTGTCGTATGTACATTTTTGCTCACCGAGACAAGAAGCCTTGACCATTGTCCATTAGGGGGAAGGTATTTGGTGGTGTAGGGTTACCCACCTTTTCTAGCGGCAGAGGAATATGCTGCAAGGCAAATATCTGCAAAAAGGAAAAAAAAACATTTTAAAATTCTATTAATTCAATGAACCAGAGATGAAAACTAAAATAATTAGAAAATCACTTACTGACAAAAAAAATGAACCACTATCAATAAGTGTGATATTTTTCTTATACTTTGTCAAACTATGGTGCAAATGCACCAACATGGCCTCTCCCCTTGCAAAATTTTTAATTTCATCAGTATTTTCTACAAGGGGCAATAACGGGCACTAACCTGGCAACCAGTATGATCTAGCATTATAAAAGAGCCAATAATCAACAAAACTAAGACCCGCACCCTTTGGACTAAACTAATCTTTCATTCTCAGTTAAACGCCTCAAAACACTCAACTGTAACCCTTTATTCTTATGCACAACCCCTCAACATCTCCGAAGCACCTCTTACATGCAGTTATATCTTCAATTTCCCTACCTACAACGGGTCTACTAACAATCGGTAAATCCATGATATATAAAACATCTAACAATTATATACAACCATTACCTACTCTAAAGCAATGAGATTCTTCATCATAACAATTTACAAATGCTTGAACCAAGCCTCGACAGTGGTTGAACTTGTCTCGCAGCTGGAGAACATGTTCAAAACCTGTAGACTACAATGCTTGGGTCACTTCTGCGCCACATCTGAGATTAATGACATTGTGTAAATGCACGTTGATCTTACATCCAAAATTATTCATTTTCACCTCAGCACAATCAACAAAAAAAAAAAAAAAAAAAAATCAGCATGTGCTCTCATTAAGATATGTCCTTCAATATCACAGAATATTAGCCATAAACCCACACAACAAATGTTTAAGCAAAAACCAAATAGTAGCAGAAGCATAAAAATCCAACACAAGAACCCCGCTAATCCAACCAGCAAGAGAAAGGGCCAGCACCAACTAAAAAAACATGCAGCCTAGAAGCACCAACCGCAAGCAGCAGAAGCATATAAATCCAAAGCAACCAGCAAAAACAAAACAGAAAAAAAAAAAAAAAAAAAACGCAAGCTTCAGCTTCATCAGCCAACACTCAAGCTTCAAACATCACAAATGAAGAACAAATCCTAAGATTCGATGGCCTAGATTAGTACCAAAAAAATGGCAAAATCGAGCGAATCAAGACTGTATGACTAGAAATAAAGATTTAAACAAAAAGATTCATATGAAGAAACCAGATTAACTCATTACCGAAAAGAAAAATGATGGAAGGACGACAGAAGGCTGACGATTGGAGCGCGACAACGCCGGATGCACGACGGAGGGCTGACAATTGGAGCGATTGGAGAAGAAGAAGAAGAAGAAGTTTGACGAAGACGAGTTAGAGTCTTAGAGAGGTTTTTTGCTTTTTGAATTTGAGTTAGGGATTTAGGGGGAAAGGGGTTTTAGTTAAAAATTAAAATATTAATTTTTTTTTTTTTTTATTTTGCGTTAGGGATTTTGGGGAAAAAGGATTTTAATTAAAAATTAAAATATTAAAATAATATATATTTTTTTAATTTAGAGATTCGATAACTTGGGGCACCTGAATGAATTTGTAAAATTAACTAGTACTTGAACCGAATATTCGGGTACCAACATACCCTTGACCCGAATACCTGGGTATCCAAAAAAACTAGTTCGGTTCGATTCGAGTACCACAATCAGTTTGAGTTTCGGTTAATTTTGCACACCCTTACAATGTAACCCAGTTTTGACCGGTTCTTAAGTTAGTCAAAATTTTCTATTAAACCGAACCGAACCATTGACCGTTTTCCGTTAGATTGGTTAAGCCGATCTACTCCATTTGTTTAACTTTTCGAAATACTATCCTATTCTATTTTGGATAGAATAGATTTAATCAAATACGATAAGATTTTGAGAATGTGTTTGATACATTTTCTGAAAATATTTAGATTATTTTTAACCCCCTACATTTGTTAATTTAGCTAAACACCCCCCACAATTAAAGTTTATAAATTAACAAAAACTTCCCCACCCACTAGACCTGGCAAAACGTGGGGGTGGGCAAAGTGTGGCTCAGGTCCAAACGGGTAAAAGTCCCACGTCTACGGATCCAAAACAAGTCAATCTAAACGAGTCTAAAATATTGGAAACAGACTTCGGAACACATGGACGATAATTACGGCATACATCCGCATTAACTGATCACAATAAAATGTTGGAAGTACTTAATGGCCATCCTGATAGAATATTTGCGAAGTGCCGCATGGATAAACAATGTTTTAAATACTTATGTTATATTTTGGCACAACAAGGGAACTTGCGAGGCTTTAACATGATGAGTATATTGAAGAACAAGTTATGATATTTTTGACAACCGTTGGAAAAAACAAGACATACAGTAACTATTATGGATGATTTCCAACATTCAGGTGAGACAATCTCTAGATATGTGGGCAAAGTTTGCAACGCAATATGTGGGTTGCAAACAGAGTTTATGAAGGCACCAGACTTCAGTGAAGTTCCAGAGGAAATGTCGACAAACCCAAAATATTACCCGTTCTTTAAGGTACTTTTATTATATTATTATTATTATTATTTGTACATACTTCAATTCGTTGTATTATTTATGTCGACAGTCGGTTGATATTATTGAATGTTAACTTTTGTTCATAGGACTGTATAGGGGCAATTGATGGCACACATGTCGATGCTTGGGTTCTAGCTGAGTTGGTAGATGTCTTCCGAAATTATTAAAGAATGTTGTCGCAGAATGTCATGGCTGTATGTAACTTCAAGATGATGTTCACTTATGTCATCACTGGTTGGGAAGGATCCGCCCATGACTCAAAGGTTTTAAATTCGGTTCTTGGTGATCCTGATTCTGGATTCCCGCATCCTCCACCAGGTACAACTAGCTTCTTTACGTATTATAGCATATTTGCTCTGTTTTTTTGGATTAAAATATCAAATAACATGTGTGAGTTGTTGCAGGTAAATACTATTTGGTTAATGCGGGTTATGCAAATAGAAGGGGGTTCCTTGCCCCTCATAGACGAGTTCCTTGCCATCTACATGATCATCGTCATAATTGACCTGATCCACGGGCGTTGGTTAACTACAGACATGCATCACTCCGTAATATTGTTGAGAGAACCTTTGGTGTTCTAAAGAAAAGATTCTGGATTCTTAATAGAATGAATAATTACCTGTTGGAGAAACAAGCTCGGATTGTTATGGCATGTTGTGTACTTCATAATTTTATCAGAAGGTATAATATGCAGGATGAAATCTTCAAAGAGTCTACCGCGGAAGTATATTTGCATGACCAAAACAGGGCAGCTAATGAAGGAAATGAGGAGGGATCTAGTCAACCGTAGTAACGTATTATTGATGACATAGTGCATGTGTGGGATAATATACGACTGAAATGTTGGAACAACATATGTCAATGTCGTAGTTGTTAATGGAATATAACTATATAAACGATTCTAAGGGTTGACAATCAACAGCTTCGTTAGAGATGTATTAATGTGGTGTTTTTAAATAATGTATTAGTACTTGAAATTAATAGTTCCAAATTTGTCTTTAAGTTAGTGATTACGAAATTACCAATCAAATATTTAATAATATTAAAATGTTAATTGATAAGTTTTTACAGTATAATAATAAAAATTAATTTAACAAGAAGCAACAAAGAATTCTATCAATAAACCCTTTACAAAAAAATATACCAAACAATTTTTCTACAATTTATTCAACTCTAAGATAAAAGTGTTTACTTGGTTACAGAGCAAAATGAAACCAGCATCAAACAACATCAGATTAGTAAATTCCAAAGAGAAAATTCTCATACCCAAAGACATAGTCCTCTTCTGCATCAAAAAATTGAGAAACAAACTAAGAAATAGCAAGAATTATTAACCGAAGTCGCCTATTCCTGGCCTTTTAGACCCTAGAGAATTGAGAACTTCCTTGCATAAATTACAAATGCCACTTTCGAATGACTCTTGGATAGAAAATTTTGATAACTTTGGCAGATCATACTTGAACATCAATTTGATAACTTTGTCAAATCATACTCGAAAATCAATTTGATAACTTTGGTAGATTGTACTCAGCAATCAATGAGGATCGAGATCACTTACCATTGAACTCCTCTGCAGCCATTAAACCTTGAAGACTTCTCTAAGAAAGAACCCACTGAACTGCTCTATCTTCCTTCCCGTAGTCTTTCCTAAAAGTAAAAGCAGTATGTTGAAACACAAAATCAGATAGGAAAAGCATGAAAAGCATTTTCAAGCTTGTTACGCCTGGGAAATCAAGGGCTGACGTGGGAAATCACATGATGGGGTGTGACCTGCTCCCGTCAGAACGGTAAGCACACGTCAGGCCTGGCAGACGCTATGGAGCTCCCACATGTCTATTTCCCTACTCCAAATCGCGTGAAATCAGCTTGGAATGTGGGCAATGTGACGTGAAGGCGGATTTTGTCCTGACATTCACACCAACCCATGGATTTAATGATGATTACTTGCTCTCATCTCACTATAAAAAGAGGAAGACCCCTTCATTAAGGGGATTCGGCCATTTTACACTCTGAACTAGCATTCTCTCTCTCTCTCTCTCTCTCTCTCTCTCTCTCTCTCTCTCTCTCTCTCTTGTATCTTTGTATTTATAATTCCCTAATCATTTGTAAGTCAGTCCGCTGTTGCGACCTGACCCACAATACTGATACAAATATCAGTGGACGTAGGACTTGCTATCTTAGCATCCAAACCACTTTAAAAAGCACTCATTATTGCATTTGTTCTTCACGTTATCAATACCCACCTGTGTCTCTTGGCCAACCAACATTACGCACGTGTCGATTAGTTGGTGTCAAAATCATGCATCAACAGTTTGGCGCTAGAAGGAGGGCCCAGATTTAGTGTTCATCCTTCATCAGGAGAATCTCTAACCTACTGGTCCTACAGCAACAAATGGCCCGCCAATCTGAACCTAAGCAAGCCAACCAGCGCGCTGAGGGAGCTCCCCTGACCCAAGGGGATACCTCTTCCAGAATACTTCCAGCCCCACAAATTGCTGCGGTAGATATCCCAGCAGCTTCGCAGCTTGACCCCACCATCAGAAGCTACCTGGAGAGGTTCGACAATACTCTCCAGACGGTCAACCAAAGGCTAGATAGTCTGGACCAAGGCATGCCATCTAGAACAGTTGGGGCAGGGCAACCGCCAGAAACGCCCACAGGTCGCACGAAAGCGTGGCAAAGGGAAATAGCCCGTGCCGCGAGCACTGCAGCGCGTAGACGTAAGGGTAAGCAAGTGGCAAAAAGCAAGCCTACGGGCTCCAAAGGGCCAGCGAACACAAACCGTGCCCCAAGTAGGGTGCCGACAAAGCTGAGACTCGACGAAAAGGTAAATCCCGAGCTATCCCATGCCACATCGCAGGTGAACCCAAGCAAAAGTGCTGAGCAGGGCGATTCTTATCACCGCCAGCAGAACGATCCTGATCACTATCATGCAGGTGGTCCCCATACCTCGCGGAGCGGTTCGTATCATCGCAAGGGTCATGAAAATACCCCGCACCATCCATCGCCTTCACATGCCTCTAGCCAATGTGTGTCTAGAGCAGCCGGAAGTGTCGACCGAGGCGAAGAGGAGTCCGACCTTCGGATTCTCTTGAACCGTAATCGCAAGGGCCGGACTCGCATGGGTGAAAGCAATCCCCAACTGGCTCCGTTACCACAAATTGAGGAGCTGCAGTGAGCTCTGGATAGGCTGAGAGAGCAGCAAAATGAGCAGGCCCAGGTCGCCACTGCATCCCCCTTCTCTCCTGAAGTGTTAGCTGCTCCACTCTCGCCAGGGTTCAAAATGCCCGACATGCAGCCGTTTGATGGGAACCATGACCCGCAGGATCATTTGTATGAGTTCAACGACCTGATGGAGCTCCACCAGGTTTTGGATCTTGCAAAATGCCGTTGTTTGGCCGTGACTCTAACTTCTCATGCCAAACGATGGTTAAGGTCGCTCATGTCGGGATCGATCAGTTTGTGGCCTCAGATGAGCACGACGTTCCTACGGCATTTCCAAGCAAATCGAAAGTTTTTGATGCCTCTGAGCTATCTCAGCAACATAAGGCAAGACAGGGACAAATCCCTACAATCTTATATCGACCGTTTCCACAAAGAACTCAACAAGGTGGCTCACGTCCCCGAAGAGTCCATCCGAACACTCATAATAGCTAGAGTTCGCCCGTAAACTGACCTGTGGAAAGAATTACAGGTTGAGGATGATGTTTCCCTCACCAGATTCTATAACCTCGCGGAAAAGTATCTCCGTATAGAAAATTCATTGGCAGCAGTACGTCGTCGCGATCACGGCGCTTCGGGCAGTATGTCTGGTCAGGGAGAAAGTAGGAGAGCTGATCACAAAGGAGACATTGACGATCAGCGAAAAGGGAAGAAACCCCGCTACGAGCACAAAAAGTCTTATGCTCCCATTCCTCGTCGCGACCGCAACAGGCCCCAATATACTCCACTGAACGCCTCTGTATCTGCCATTCTTGGTAAATCCGAAGAAGCTAGTCTACTCGGAGAACCCGAACCCATGAAAACCCATGTGACAGCCAGAAATAATAAAAAGTATTGTTGCTATCATCGGGACAATAGACACCATACTGACGAGTACCAAGCCTTGAAGCAAGCAATCGAAGAACTTATCAAGAAGGGGCACTTCAAGGAATACATCGATGACTCTGCTCCCTCGAAAGAGAAAGATGGGGGGGAGCCAAGTAAGATGCGTCGCGATCAGAAAGGGGTGTTCAGTCTCAACTTGATTTTTGGAAGACCGTATTTGGCTGGAAATTCACGAGGTGCCCAAGAAAGGTATGCTCGTGAAGCATATCATGACCCTATTAGAGTGATGAGTGCGGATAGGCGACCACAAAAGGTTTGCAGGGAGGTGGAAATCTTCTTCTCCGAGCAGGATACGGCCAAGTTGCACCATCCCTACGACGACGCCCTTGTAATCACTCCCCTGATAGGGCACTATAACACCCAGAGAATGTTAGGGGATAACGGAAGTGCTGTGAACATCCTGTTTGCATCCACTTTCGAAAGGATGAACCTGGACGAGGCCGACCTAAAGCCTGCCTCGTTCCCTCTATACGGATTCACAGGAAACCATCTACTCCCCAAGGGAACAATCTCACTCCTAGTCACGGTGGGCGATCTCGACGAAGTGACCAAGGTAACCGAATTCTTAGTGGTAGACTGCCCGTCAGCCTTCAATGGGATCCTTGGGCGACCTCTACTAAGACAGTTCAAGGCGGTCACTTCAATTTACCATCTGAAGATGAAGTTCCTCACCCCGACGGGGATCGGGGAAGTCAGCGGGTCTCAGCGCGCATTGCATGACTGCTATGTAAAAGCAATCCAAATGGTGCACAAAGGAAAGGGCGTTCCGCAAAGTGCACCCCGCCAGGCCATGGCGATTAGCAGGATCGATCCACAACCTGGCCTGGCCGAGGACAACCTAGACCCTCGCATTCAAGACTGCCGCTCCAGTGGGCCAGTTGAGGACCTGACTGAAGTGCTGGTTGACCCGAAAGAATTGAGCAGGGTATTAAGAGTCGGTAAAAATCTCAATCCCCAGCTCGCTAACGAACTGACAGGTTTCCACAGGGAAAATGTCGATGTGTTTGCTTGGTCACATGCAGATATGGTCGGGATCAGCTCGGACGTTATTTGCCATGCGTTAAACGTCGACAGCGAGGCCAAGCCAGTTCGCCAAAAAAGAAGAGCAATGGTTCCAAAGCGGTATGCTGTATTAAAATCAGAAGTGGAAAACCTCCTCCGAAATGGGTCCATCTGAGAAGCACTTTACTCGACGTGGGTTGCCAACCTGGTCCTGGTAAAGAAGCCAAACGGAAAGTGGCAGACCTGCGTTGATTTTAGCGACCTCAACAAGGCCTGCCCGAAAAACAGCTTTCCTCTGCCAAGAATCGACCAGCTCGTGGATGCCACCTCGGGGCACGAGCTGCTAAGTTTCATGGATGCATACTCAGGATACAATCAGATCCCTGTGTATGGCCC